GGATTTCTCTAAATATGATTTCGTGATCAACGTATAAAAATACCTAGTTAAGTAGCTTGTGTAATTCACGTGTATTTTATTTTAAAATAAGTATACATATAATTTAATAATTAAAGAATAAGATTTTATAAAGATAAAACATTAAAATATATTATAAAGATTGAAAGATGTAAAAAAATGTTAATTTTGCATGATTATAAAATTAATTTAATATAATATGTTAATAAATACTAGATCAATTATGATGAATATCTTGACAGAAATAAGACATAAATGTCACACCCATTTTATTATGATATTGTGATAGATAAAGAAGAGTAAAAGATACCCTAATGTTAAAAATAATTTTGTTATAATTAATTAAAAAAATGATAATGAGAGAGTATTTGAGAATATTAAAAATTTTGAAAAAAAGAAGAAGAATGAAAGTGGTAGAATCTTCAATTTTTAACAAAGGAAACATTTTCTACATGAAACTAAAAATATAAGTGATTACTAGGAATTTTAATTGAGAGTATTACAAATAATAGATTAAATATTATAAATTTTATAAACATAAATATAAGTATTTATGAGAAATTTAAAGTATACACAAGGTAATAAGGAAAATTTTATAGATGTGAATATAAATATTTGTAGAAAATTTGAAAGTTTATATAAGGTAATAAGAAATTTTTTTTATAAATATAAAAATATATTTTTGGTGAGATTATAACAAAAGACTAACTTAAAGTAAAAAAAAAAGTGAAAAAATAATTTTAAAAAATAAATTATAGAGGAAAATTTGAAACTAAAAATAAAATAAAATGACCAAATCACTAATTTTTATCTATTTTTATCATAACATAGTTATTTATATTATTAAATTAATGTAATGAATAATTTTATACGTTTTTTCAAACTTAACTCCATTAATACTGTGATCTTAAATGGCAAAATATCATTGATACATTGTATAAGGTAAGCATATATGATGATTTTATAACTAATACTTACAAAAGTAACTAATCGCAAAATATTGTATTTATTTCTAAAAACTAAACTAATAAACAAGTTTTATTTTTATTTTCTTCTTAAAAATAAATTTTTGAAAATATTCTAAAATATAATTTTAAAAAATTAAAAACTAAAACAAAAGCAAACAATCTCTAAGAAACTTGTTTAATTAATCAACTTTATAATAACTATTACTAGAAACTTATTATTGTTTTCTTGTTCAGAAGTACAAAACTGAAAACTATAAAAAGTTTTGCTTTTAATTTCTATTTTCGTTTTGAAAACAAGTAGAGATGGAGATAAAAATGATGGGAATTAAAATGATAATTTTTTTAGTTTTAGAATTTCAAGAATTAAATTAACGCAATATATCACATCAATTGCTTTATTAATCCAATATATAATTGACAAAGGACAAATGTAACCTCTGTATAAGTAAAGGACTAAGATGACTATTGTTTTAGTGAGAACTATTTTGATGAAGTGGAGTAATAATGTAATTCTAGAATTTTTTTTTATGGCAATGTTGTAATATGCAACAAAACATAAGGGTTTGTAACATTTTGCGAAGAGCCGCTCGATGTGGGACTTGTCCATCACTACAGTGAAGTTACTAATTAATACAAAATTACACGTTTCATACCTTAACTCAGGATATTTGTAAGCCAGTCTTCTACCTTCACTATCTCCATCTACCTTGTTTTCTTGTTCATTCTTTTCCTCTTTTTTTTTTTTTTTTTTAACAATAATGTTGTTCAAACACTTGGATTTAATGTTTATACCCAACACCATATATTAACAGTTCTCAAATACAAGGTTGCATATTAGTTATTCTACACACATAAACATATTGTCTAAACTCAAAGTTAACCAAACTTAAAAAAAAAACTAAAATGTCGTGTAACTATCCCGTAGCTCTAGTTCCTCCTCTCTTCTTCTTCTTCTTCTTCTTCTTCTTCTTCTTCTTCTTCTTGAACTAATTAAAAAAAAAACAAAAAGTCTTGTAACTCTCCTTTGCCTTTGGTTCCTCCTCTCTTCTTCTTTTTCTTCTTGAACAAATCCAAAAAAAAAAAACCAAACGTCTTGTAACTCTCTGTGCCTCTGGTTCCTCATCTCTTCTTCTTCTTCTTGAACAAATCCAAAAAAAATAAAATAAAATCATTTGAATCGCGAAGCTACGTTGTTGCTGTCCTTCTACAACAAAGAGAATTCTTTTCTCACTCTCAGGGACTATTCATTGTTGTGTGACTCTGTCTCACTTGTTCTCTATGGCCTACTCCTAGATATTTGCATGTTGTTCTTCATTTGAGCAATTTACTGTGTCATTTCGTCTCTCTCACTTCTCCTCTCACGTCTACACAAGAAATATCAAGTTCTTCAATCCTACCATGTTCTTCCTTTGCTAAAATTATATCTTTTTCCATGTTACTTGTTCTTCACATTACTTTTGTCGTACACTCTGCATTACTCTGAGTTTACTGTCCCACTTCTCATGTAACGCCCCGAATTTTGTAATGTTAATTATTGTTATTTATATAAATCTAAATGCATATATATATATATATATATATATATGTGTGTGTGTGTGTGTGTGTGTGTGTATAAGTGTAAATGGATGTTGAAATTTTACATTGGATGCGTAATGATGGTGTTTTGTGTGTAATGAGTATGAATATATGTACATATATGTATGTTGTAGATGTGTGTATATATATATATGTGTATGCATGACTGGATAGGGCTGAAATGGGCTAAGTGCCTAAGTGCAGGGCGTAATACCGGGCTGTTCTCGTTGCAGCGAGAGGGCCCTGGGAGGAAGGATCAAAATTGTCGCCTTCTCGCTGTAGCGACAGAGCGACAGTTTGGGGTGCATTTCTGACTGCAGTCTCGTTGTAGCGAGAGAGTTTCATTGTAGCAAGATTTTGCAGAAATTAGAGTGCAGTTTTCTCTGATTTTTTTGCTATAGCGAGAGGGCGTGTCGCTGCAGCGAGGTTCCATTGCTGCAACTTGAATATCTCGCTGTAGCGAGAGTGCCAGAAAAGGATTTAAAGGGGGTTAGGATTCAGGGAGGATTATTTCTCCATCTCCCTTCGAAATTCCTTGGATCCCCTCATTCCCAAAACCCTATTCCACTAATTAATTGCCTCCAAAGCTGTTCGGGAGCTTGATTGAAGGTTAAATCCGTGTGGGGAACACTTAGAGGTGAGTTTTAATGGTTAAAATTCCATTTCTCATCCCCATTTCTCTATTTCTCAGTTTTTGGAGTTCTCATAGAGTTCTTCCATGTGTTTTAGGCCGCAAATCTGTGTAGGGAGCACGTCCGTGGTCGAATCCGAGTGTGAGTCTTCAATCCAAGGTAAGGGGGGACTCTACCTATCTTAAATGTGTTGTAATTCTTGTATTTTTTGTTGATTAATGCAATGTGGTTGAGATAGAAAATAGAAATTGTGTGTTTGATGGAAATTGGTGTACAATGTGATGTGTGCTGTGATAGTTAGGTCCCGTAGGGGTGATTGTGTGTGATGGAATGCCATTGATTGGAGAATTAATGATATTGTGAACAAATGTGGGCCCGAAAGCCGTGTAATATAAATGAGTATTGGCTACATGTCGTGTGATGTGAAATGAATGTGGGCCTAGTGCCGTGTATTTGAATGCAAATGTGGGCTGTGTGCAGTGTGTAAGCATGAATATTGCATGTGTGAATGAAATGTATGTGAATGGGGCACGTAGTGCCATTGTAATGTGCTGTGAATGGTTCAGCGATACACTGTGGGTATGAAAGATGAGGGCAGTAGAAATACCTTGGGGAAGAGGGAGTAGTGGTGACATCGATTGTGGAACGGGTGCACCACAAGCCATACACTCTCTTCCTGACTAGACCTCTGACCACTATCTTTGTTGAGCGACCCGTGACTACCCACGTGGTATCCGTGAGGCGAGGGTAACCGGCGATCATTAGTGGTGTAAATCTGTGATCACAGTGCCACAGTGAGTATGGCTGGCGTGCATGTGCATGGGTTTATGACTTGTACTTATGAATGTGAAATGCTGTCTGTGATTGTATTTATTTAATGTATTGGAAATATGCTGGAGCTGAGACTCTATGTTGACTATGTATTTTTGGGTAGTGTAGAGTACTCACCCTTACATATATTTTTTATGTAATCAAGACGATCAACACTGGACTTAGTAAAAGGGGTGGATGGAACTGTTATAGGGCTTATGATATTATTTTAAAAACTGTTGTATTTGAATAAGTCCTGTATCAACTGTTTGATGATATTTGTAACCTTTTTTTTTTAAATGTTTGATGAAACTTGGATTAAAAATAGAAGTTTTATTATTTCAGAAATTTATGAAATCCTTTATTTATTGAAAATTAAATTTAAAGTGATACATCTCATCTGAGTGATACATGAGTCCTATCAAAGGTGGTGCAATACAAATTGGAAACTTGGGATCTTGCATTTAAGCTGAATAGTTTTTGGTAAGTGGGTCTTTGACAAAGTTCATGCCCATGACCCTCTGTTTTATAAAGTTTAATTTTTTTTGTTTCTATTGAGGAGGAACTGCAGAAGCATGACAACGAAAATGTTGTTGAGCTCGTGTATGAAGTTGCTAGTGAGGATGATAGCTGTGATAGCTCTGACACAGTTGAGCCAAGTGTTGGAATGAAGTTTGATGATGTTGAAGCTATTAAAGTATTTTACAAGAACTATTCAACTAAAGTGAGTTTTAGATGGAAGATTAGAAATTCAAAAAAAGTCATGATGGAGAGTTGAATTATTTGATAATTGCGTGCATACGAGAAGGAAAGAGCTCTTCAAAGGTACCAAAAACTTTGAAGACACTTCCCAGGATAGTTTCCAAATGTGAAGCAAAGATCACAGCAAAGAAAAGGAGATCCAAAAAATGGTATGTAAAAATAGTTGTTTTACAACATTTTCATGGATTAAGTCCTTCAAAAGCTAGAATGTTTTAAAAAAAATAAGAATATTAGCATGTATGTGAGAAGAACTCCTGATTTACACAGTGAGGTAGGGGTGAGGATAAACAAGACTTTTCAAACCCTTGTTCATGATGTTGGTGAACATGATAATTTGACATTTGTAGAAAAGGATGTGAGAAACTACATTAACAAGGAAAGACGTTTGATTGCCAAGGAAGAAGACTCAAAAGTATTAGTAGATTATTTTTGTAGGATGAAGAAAGAAAATTATCAGTTTTGGTATGATATTGATGTTATGAAGACTTTCGCATAAGAAATATATTTTGGGCAAATGCTACAAGTCGAGCTGCATATGAATTTTTTGGAGATATCGTTAGTTTTGATACAACTGACTTAACCAATAAGTATGACATGCCCTTTGCTGCTTTTGTTGGTGTAAATCACCATGGTTAGTTAGTTTTACTTAGTTGTAGCTTAATATCAGCAGAAGATACAGAAACATTTGTGTGGATTTTCAATTGTTGGGTTAGATGCATGTGTGGGAAGGCACCCAATGGGATTGTGACTAACTAATACAAGGCTATGAAAAATGTTACTGCAATAGCTTTGCCCAATACTTGGTACATATGGTGTTTATGGCATATAATAAAAAAAATCTCAGAAAAACTGAAGGGATATGGTCAATATAAACAAATTAAATCAGCAATGAAAGATGTTGTTTATGATAGTTTAATGAAGGATGATTTTGAAGAGAAATGGTATTCTTTCTTGAAGAAGTTTGATGTTCAACAAAATGAATGGTTGTGTGGATTATTCAATGACCAACATAGATGGGTGCTAATATATTTAAAACAAGATTTTTGGGCTGAACTATTAGCCACACAAAGAAGTGAGAGCGTACACGCCTTTTTTGATGAATATCTGAACTCGAAGACAAGCCTACAACAGTTTGTGAAGCAATATGACAATGCATTAAGGAGCAAGGTGGAGAAGGAAGTGAAACCTGACTTTCGCACAATGAACACGATAATTCAGTGTGGGTCAAACTCCCTTATTGAGAGACAATTTCAAGCTGAGTATACAAATGCCAAGTTTGCTGCAGTTCAAGCAGAATTTAGAGGTAAAATGAACTATGCTACACCAATAAAATTTGAGGTTGGAACTATCATTTCATACAATGTGTGTGAGGATTTTATATTTTGTAATCAGATGAAAGAAGCCAAGTTTGAGGTTATTTTTAATAGGAGAAGTAAGGACATTAGTTGTCAGTGCTTGCTATTTGAATTCAGAGGTATAATGTGCAAACATTCTCTTTCGGTGCTTGGAATTAAAAGAGTTAAGCAAGTACCTTCTAAGTATATTCTCAGTAGATGGAGCAAGAATATTAAAAGAAGACATTCATACATCAAGGTGAGCTATGATAAAGTTGAATTGAAGCCAATGAATGAGAGGTATGATAATCTGTCTAAGCATTTCTATAATGTGGCTGAAATGGTTGCAAATTCTGAGGAAGCAAGCAATCTTCTTCTTTGAATAAACATTCCAATGATGAAGACATTGCTAACAACTTGGGTGAAGAGTGTCTAATTCAAATAAATACAATTCATAGCTCCACATGTATAACAAATGCATCAAGTCAAGTGCAAACTTGTTGATTGAGGTGCTTTTATTTTGATTTATATTGTTACATGTGTATTAAATTGCAATTCTTATAGAGAGATTACTACTAATGTTAGATTTCATTGTTGCAATATGTAGGAATCGTTGGGTGAAACTGTTGCTGAGCAGTGTGAAAGTAACTTATGCATTCAGTCATCAGTTAAGGTTGTAAGTGATAATAGTAATGCACTATATGTTCACATGAAGTTAAGGTTAAATTTGTAACTATCACCAATTTGGGTGATATGACACAAGTTCTGTGTTTGTTGTTTTAAATGTTGTACCTGTGTCTTTCCTTTAAATGTGGTATTTGTGAAACAACTATTCTGTTGTGGTGGCAATGGCCATAGTTATGATGGCCATTTCAATTAATCATTATCATTGAAGTTGTATACATTGGACTTGTTATTGGTAAATTTATAATGGTAAATTATTGATGTAGCCAATGAATGAAAGTGTTGAAGTTTCGATGTTTGAAGATATCATATTGGGATCACAGTCTATCTTGTAGCCAAGGGGATTTGTTTCTTTTCTTCAATCTATTAAGCAAAACTCTCAACCAAGGGTGCAGTAATGTGAATCAGAAGTAATTTTATCTTCATTGGATTTTTGGTATATGTTAAGCTGAAATTTTTATGTCCTATTTTCTAGGTTGTACAGGATTTAGGTCAGACAGATTTATCCATCCACATGGATACAATCAAACCCCATGATAGTCTTCAACATAGTGTTGAAAAACAAATTCAGAATTAATACTTGCCTATCATTATTTTCAGAGTGATTGTACAAGTAAATTAAAGTTACAAGTATTATTACATGCAGGTTTGGCTAGTGGATAGATAAGTTTTGGTCCCATTTTGTTTTGAATGGGTAAGATTAGTAGAACCAATCTTGAATATGATTTTAATACTTATGTTTTGTTTATTTAATAATGAATAATGTCTGTGTATGCAGGATGATATGTACATACTGTGCATAAAATTTTAGCTTCACCATGCAAAATCATTATTTTGGCTGGAGATATGATATCTTAACATTAAGTGGTCAGAAAGGCAGGATAATAGACCTCAAGAGTTGAACCATACCATTATTTTTTTGGTATATTGTAAATAGCAATATAGATGATACAATAAGTCTGTTGAATATGGTTACTTGGACAACATAATATTTTCTGTTTGCTGTTATCTATAAGATATGACACAGTGAATTGTACAAGAACAAAGTCTTCACATTATCTCTTGTAAAATTGTAAATTGTGCAATGTAACCCTTGTGATTTTTGTTTGTAAATATAATGTATGGTTTATTGATTAATACAAGGTTTACATACTTGAGTTGTGTTACTTGAGCTTTATAGTAAAATTGAAATGGTAAATTCAAATTTTGTCACAATGCCTAATATGAAATCTATGTGATTTTCCTTGGCCTCAAATGCCTAATAGTGTAAGGGGTTCGTCGATGAGGCCCCGTGTAACACCTTTAAATAATTTACAAGTAATAATTTAGAAAATGGAAATAATAAAATTTTTATTTAAATAAAAAGATCCCATCATAGAGTTTCATAAAACAGTTCAAAACAATAAAGGATTACAAAATTTATATCAAAGACTGCTACAGGACTAACTCAGTTATATCATAATTTTAAAATACAATCTAAGTCTTATAGCAGTCCATCCTTCCTTCACTGAGTCCAGTGCTGATCGTCTTGGTCACCTGAAGATAAATGTAAGGGTGAGTACTCTACACTATCGAACACATATAAATATAGAGACTCACCTCAAATACTACACATTTACTAACATATGTTAAATTATGCATCCACAATACAAGCGTCTCAATCTCAATCACAATTATCATTCATCATATATTCCAATGCAAAATGCAACCAGTGCACTCACTACACCAACATTTCACACACGTGCACTTACTGCACCTAACCACACTCACTGTGGCATTGTGATCACAGTTTCATACTATGAATGGTCGCTGGTTACCCTCGCCTCACGAATACCGCGTGGGCAGTCACGGGTCGCTCAACAAAAGTAGTGGTCAGAGGTCTAGTCAGGAGGATAGTGTGCGGCCTATAGTGCACCCACGCCCACTATTGGTGTCACCACCACTCTCTCTTTCCCAAGGTATTTCTACCATCCTCATCTTCCACACCTCTAGTGTATTGCTGACCTATTCATAGCATCATTACAACGACATTCAACATGCCTCATTCACACATATTTCTCATTCACAGCACACGGCACAATATCCAGTCATTAAAATTACATGGCACATGGGCTCACATTTATTCGCACACACAGCACAAGTGCCCACATTCATCTAGCACACATGACACACATGTCCATTCCATACACAAAACATTTCAACATGCCATCTATACTTATTTCCAACCATTTACATCATTCAAGGACACGCAAACACACCTATTTGCCTATATTAGGCTCAATCATTTCACTCATCACATTCAATATCAATTGCTCAATATGCTCGTACACCTTTTGTAACATCCTATTTTTTACTCTCTCCATGTTCATGTATGTTAGCACGATTTAATCTTTTTCAAAGATAATTCAATACATTTTGCAAAATTTTACGATGTTGATTAAATAAGTTTTGAAATAAAAGTGCTTATTTTTATTTCGTTAAAGTAATTCGTCTTTGAATACATGTTTGATTTATTTTTGGAAGATGAGATTTTCTAATACTTTGAATTATTTACAATCATTTAAGTATAATTGATTTCCAAATTTCTAACACACCAACAAAGGTGGTTTAGTGGTAGATAGGCTAGTGTTACCCATTTGGAGGACTTAGGTTCAAGTCCTACTTTTGCAAAGTTTTTCTTTCAGATTTATAAGTGTATAAAATAATCATCCGTAAAGTTTTCTTTCACTCTCTCTCAGTTTTTGCACTTCTTCCATGAAAAAGCATGGAGCTCTCTGCGAGCTTTCTGCGTCCAGCCACTGTGAGTCAATTTTGACCATCTAAACATATTTTTCTTAGCCTAACCTCTGCATTTGGATTGTGCAGTGAAAGATCTTTCAAACGCAAGTGGTTTAACTCAAAACGGACATCAAAATCATAAGTTATAGTGAAAATGGTGAGATTACTCCTTGTTCTGCGTTTTCAGTGTTTCAGCAGCAAAGGAGACTGTTTTTCTCATTTCTGTGATCTCCAAAATTTGACATGCAACATTCTTATGTGTTCCTTGCAGAATTATCTTTCCAACGGTGTATATTGAGCTCAAATCTGATATCGTTTGCCCCCTTAATCGCCTAGAATACGTGAGGAACTTCATTTTTACGTTTTCTACAGAAATATAAAGAAATAATTTTTACACCCTCTGTACAGAGTTGTTCAACCCAAAAAAATTATTTTCATAAACTACATGAAAACAGCTTTCCAACACATATTTTTATGTTAATTTTGGACTTCGTTTGAATACCTTACGAGCTGAATTACCAAAATGGTACAAAGGTGAAAAACCTACATGAACAGCAGCGAAGTTTGATTTTTTTGCACTTCCCTGTGCTTTAAAACTTGATTTTTAAAATATGATTTTGATCCATAGGGTCTTATCTTTTTAACAAAATTTGCGGATCGTGATTTGGACTTCGTTTGACTCCGTTACATTTAATTTTACAAACATTGTGCAAATCTGAAATTTTTCAGTTTTTTGCAATAAGTGCATGGCTGTTTCTGAATTTTTAAAAATACTAGCTCTTGGCCGTTTTGGCTTAAAGGATTCTGATAGACTCCTCTCTAACTAGAAACACAATGAATCAAGAAACTACAAATTCTGACACCGAAAAGTCCAAGAAAAAGAACATGCGGACTACCTCACTCACAAAGGTAAGGGGGAGGACGTATTTCAAGTAAACAGTAAGAAAGAAAATAAATCAAAGAGGGTTGTCCCTTAACCCTAAGGTCTAGAACACATGTATTAGGAGACATGTGCTGTTTGAATTATATGTTGACATTTTTGAATATTTACTTAAGACTTTTGATGTTTTAAAATATAATTATGAGTATATTTTGATTTTGAAGAATCTTGATATTTGGTTGAAAATTATTTTACACTTGATGTTTGAGAATATATTATTTTGTGAAAATTATGAATTATTTTAAGTGAACTATTTACTCAAAGCTTGTCGAAAACCAAAGATTAATTAAACGAAATGCTTTATTGAAATGTCCAATATGAGTAATATGCCTGGTGTATTTGAACATGATATCTTATGTGTTGTGCTCTTTAAAAATATATAGTTTGGCGCATGTGTTGTGTAAAGCACTAAGAATATGCATATATACATATGCAGGCGGCTGAGTGGGCACCATTTGTGAATTTGAGTCCTTTGAGGGTGGGAAATGCGTGATGATACACTAGGAGTAAATTGGTATGTAAGTATATGTGCCCTAAGAAGTTTGGCTATGGTTTCAACTTCGACCTTGAGTTCAATAATTGAATCTAATGACCAAAAGTAAACCTGTATGAAAATTTTGTTTTCTTTCTTTTTGAAAATAAATGAATAGTGTAACTCTAGTCAGATAATGGTTGGAACTCAAGGAAAGAGATGAAGCTAGTGAGCTTCGAACACTTAGAGAAAGTGCATTGAGGCACAGATATAAGTACTTGCCAATCTCTACATATATAAGGTTCTGAATAGTTGATGAAATCATATGAAATCCTAAATTGGCCAGCGCCTATGTGCGTGATTAAGGGAGTGGAACTCTAAAAGTATGCATGACTATTCAGACAACAAATGTGTGCGAAATCCCACTCCCCTGTGAAGGAAGTCACTAGGTTATTTTATAACTGCTGTTGGTGAAAGATAGGGAGGATCTCGATGTCTAGGGGATTTAATGGAGTTGGGTGACTTACCAATAGCCCTATGAGTGTCCTAGGCCCCAAAACTCTGGCTGGGAGTCTCTACGCGATGTTCCTTTATCCTGACCTTCTCCTAAGGTTATCTTATTGGTCGAGCTAGATCAGTCGGTGGAGGTTTGAGTCCCCACAATACATGCGAAATGTAGGCTGGCTAGTGAAACTCTCAACAACTTCCGAACAATAGGATTGTTATGGATCCAGAGTTGCATAAGAATGAAAATGAGATTTTGCCAAACTAAGAGTTATCACTTGCATTAATCATGCATCATGTAATTAGACTTGCATTTTGTTAGATTGTAAAAGTTATAATGGCATTAATGTGATGTATGCTCGTACTTACTTTGTTTTGTTTCTTTTCTGAAGGATATTTACTTGGAAATATATCTCACTCCTTTTCTTTGTTGAAATATGTTATGGTGTTGGATATTTTCTTTTAGTTGTCACAGATCTTGAGGATGACCTTTCTCCATCTTATTCTCCACTTTGAGCTCAATTTGAAGAGGATTCTTCAGTTACCAAGGAGATAGAAGATGACCCTTCCAAGGAGTCCTGACCGCTGTTTAGTTATTTCTTTTGTTGTCCGCTGCTAGAGGACTCCACTCGTTGTATGGTGGAGAATTTGGTACTTTATATTTTATTTTTGTAACTGGTGTAATGTATTTTGTTTTGGTACTCTGATGGTCATGAATTGTGTTTTAAGATTCTTGGATAATTTATGGTTACTTTGGATAATTATAGGATTATTTATATGACTAGGTTTATGTTATCAGTTATCTTCTTATTTTTATTTGGATGGAATTAAATAGGAATGAAATTGGTTCTTCAATGCATACAGGTAATGGATGTGAACTCTG